ATGTGCATTTAATTTATTTAAGTACCACTAAAGTGAGCAAATAGCTGTCTCCACTTGAGAGAAAGTGATTGGCTGCAAGCTGATTTGAGGTTAAGTAGAGACGTGAACCAACACCGTGGTACAAACTGCCAGCTCAGCCGGTTGCTTGGATGCCTTTCCTCTCACTGCAAAATGTGAAAAATTGTTTCTTGTTCTAGCAGCCAGACAGGCTGGGAGTGCTGCAGCGGAACCAGTGCCCCATGAGGTCTGTGCTGCCTCCTCGGTGCACGTGCACTGTCACTTTTCTTTGCTTAACCAAATCAGAAATTTCTGCTGAAGCAGAACTAAGTTGTTAAACCCATTTAGTATCTGCCACGTGATTTCTGCTCCCTCTTTATTCCTCCTATAACCTTATTTCTCAAAGGATGTAGTCTAATAAGATGATCAAGCTCCTCTTCTTCTCTCTGGTGATGAGAAATGAGAGCATATTAAACATGTAACTAATTCTCAAACCCCTAGTGGCCTGAGTAGTATTTATAGACCATTTTCTTGGCAATCCACAAGGAAAATTGGTTTTGTGCCCACCTTGCTGATCCAAAAATTGACTTTAGGAATTTTTTCCTGCTTGCTTGCTTGAATTCAGGAGTTTTCAGCAGTTCTGTTTATTGGTGTATTTTTTATGACACGTTGGCAGAGTCCCAATTACAACACTTATGGGCTCTCCCAGCAATTTGCCCAGCCTGAGCTGCTACATGAGACTTCCCCAGTTCTTCCCAGCTGGCCTCACCAACCTGCTGCACCCAAAACCTCAGCCCCCAGAACACCAGATGTGCCCTGGATCCTTGGCTCATTCACTGCTTTTTGGGAAACCATTGCCTTTATGGTGGGGTTGATCACTTTGCCAGCTGCCAGAATATCACAAAGGACAGGATTTCCCACTTAGTGCATTGTCATCACAGACCTGTCTCCTGACTTCCTCATGCTAAAACCCCCACTAAAGACCCCCAGCAACTGGATCCAGCTGACGGCATGGAGTGACTCCATCTCATGCCAATGCTTCTCCATGGGGAAGGATTTCATGCCTTAGGCAAGTTCAGGGTGGAATTTGGATTGTAATTGGGCTTGAAGACGCACATCAAGAAGGGGTGAATTTTGCTGAAGAGTAGACAAGGATGTATAGTGCTCTGAGCTGTCCTGGGTGACTCCTGGCTGCAGCTCTAGAAGGGTATGGGTCTCCTGGGGGTCCTGTGCCACATCTGCCCAGCCTGTGGGGACATCTTGAGTACCCCAGGGCTTTGCACGTGGCACTAGATGACCAAGTGGCTCCTGGTGCCACATCTGCCCAGCCTGTGGGGACATCTTGGGTACCCCAGGGCTTTGCACTAGATGACTAAGTGGCTCCTGGTGTCAGGAAAGTGAGTTGGGAATGAATGCAACAGTGTGTAACAGGTGCATTAAAAGAAGTGTAGTATGATAGCGGTGTCACTAGCAGAAGTAAATTGGGCAATAATCAGACATTTTTCAGCTTTCTTGAGCTGTTAAAGCTTGGTACTGCTATAGAAATGAACCCAGGAGACCATGAGGACCTGACTGTCTGTGTAGGATCTTATGCCAGACCCTTCTCTAATATTGATCAACTTGCTGTATCTTTTCCAGCCCAAACAAGCTAAAAAATAGCTTTGATCTGACCAAATCAGACAAATCACAAACAGAACCCCATGGCATTTTCTTTGCTCTTTGTCCCATCTGTTGTTTGGGTTTGATCGGTATGTTATAGGCAATCTATCTTATTTACTTAATGTGCATAATAATTACATGAGGGTTTAGGGGTTTCTTTTCTGCCTCACTTCTGGAGTCTTTTTTGCAGGTTGAAAGCAGCTGGCACCCAGATGTACACCAGAAAAGTTGCAGACTTGTGGGATCTGCACAGTGAATACAACATCATTGTCAACTGTGCGGGCCTTGGAGCCCACCACCTGGTGGGGGATGAGAAGCTCTTTCCTGTCAGGGGACAAGTACTCAAGGTTCATGCTCCTTGGGTGAAGCACTTCATCCGGGATGGGGATGGCTTAACTTACATCTACCCAGGGATACACAGGGTAACCCTAGGGGGAACCAGGGAAAAGGACAGCTGGAGTCTCTCCCCTGATCCTGGCACTACCAAAGACATCTTTGACAGATGCTGCTCCCTTGAGCCCTCCCTGCAGGAAGCTCAGGATATCAAGGTGAAGGTGGGCCTGAGGCCATCCAGGTGGTGCGTGAGACTGGAGAGAGAGGTCTTGAGCCAAGGAAGAGTTCAGCTCCCAGTGGTCCACAACTATGGGCATGGGGCCGGTGGCTTTTCAGTGCACAGGGGCACAGCCAAGGAGGCTGCTCGCCTGGTGGGAGAGTGTATTGCTGCCCTGCAAGGCTCCTCATCGAGGGCCAAGCTTTGAATCCCAGAATCTCCTTTTTCATTCATGTTGCATCTCCTAGTAGCAGCTTTGGACTTTTATTCCATTACTGGATGGCACAGCTTGTGCCATTGCAGATGCTCGATGGTATCTCACCCGGCTTCCAGCTGCTATATTGGAAAGGTGTGATGGGTTGATCCAAGTATTAGTCCAGCTGTCCTCCTCCATCTGGTATTCCTTCTGCCCTGGGCACTTCTCCTAGCCTCGTGTTAAGGAGAAGGCAAGATATGTAAGTGTTCTTCACACAACAGAGAGCAGATTGCTGCAGTATAATGTAAATAATATCAATTTAGCATTTCTTCATCTGCATCAAAAGGGTATCAGATGCAGTAGGTTCAGATTCAGTAAAAACTAGTTCTCTTCTCTTGTATCAAATCTAATCTAGTATTACCCTTGCTCCTGCCATCTCGCCAAGAAACTTTACCCTTCTCCATATGATCTACAAGGAAAAGAAGACCCCATGCAGTGCTGCATTACAGTTTTCCAGGTCAGCTCTTACAGAAAGCAACGTTAGGTCACTGTCATGCACAGTGACCAGACAAGTGTGATTTTAAGAGCAGGTCTGTGACACTGATTACTGCATTTGCTCATGTTATACCTCAGGGAAGTTAACACAAAGTTTATGTGAGAGGAAGTTGTCCCATATGAGCTATAGCTTTGTCCATCTTTTCTCACACTTGTTTGCAAATATTTTTTATTTTTTTTTAATCTGAGCCCCTCAGATTTTGCACTCAGACACAGATGATTTCTCCCTAACAGCACCATTGACATGGCCCATGTTCTACAGAAGAGGATTTTTCAGGGTGGGCTTGTGAGTGCAAAAATCTCTTTCCTGCTTCGCAACAGCACTGGCTGCTTTCCTTCCAACAGCTGATATGAATAAACTGGTGACAAACCAACAAGGATCTTAACACCAGCTTCGATTTCATACGAGAGAGAAGAGCCATTTAGATAAACACTCGAAAGACAAATCTGTCTGTAACTGGATGTGAGTGAGCTCCTCTGTTGTAAGGGAACTGAGCCACCAGAGCCCAGACCCTCACTCCATGGCAGAGGCTGAGCTGGGCTTTACACTCCCCTCAGCAGTTCAAGACCTTTGCTGTGGCTGAAGATAGTCACTCCCCAAAACTGAAGCTTACCATCAGAGTACAGGTCTGACTGTTAGTGATTAAACCACTCATTAGACCTTAAATGGCTCGTTCGAGAGTGTTAGCATCTACTCTTGTCTAGTTTTTTTGTCCTTACAGTTATAAAACAAATCTAAATCCTTCAAGAATTCACAGGATTAAAATGAACTGATAAATAAAGTTCTAATAATGGAGCAAAGGTCAATTCTGTAGTGTTTCCTTTCACAAACAAGGGGGTTTTCTTTCATTCGAGCAGGCCTGACAGGGGCAAGAAAGGCCACATTCAGACATGGGTGCCAATTTTCTGCTGTTCTCAGAGGGGATGAGGACAGTTATCCTTCGCAAGGGACAGCTGTCGAAAGAAACATCAGCAAATTAAACTATAGGTCAATTAGCACCCGGGATCAGCCCAAGTTAGACCTGACTTCAGCAGTCTTGCCCTGTTTTCCTCAGCTCTGGAGGCTAATTTTGCATGCACACCCCATCATTTGTCCTTTCGAGCAGTACAAGAGGGCAGAGCTGCTGCTTTTGGCAGCAGTGTTGGTGTAGGACTTGTCAAACTGCAGCTTTGTCCTCAGCTAACACAGAGCAAAAAAATACATGGAAAAAACCCCAGGAGAATGGGCTATTTTTTCTTAATCTTGTTTTAAATCTTAAAAAATAACAAACAGTGTAGCTTATCCCGGAGCAAGAAACACTACTAGTGCAAATGGGGTGTTCATAGCCCCATGAGAAACCAGGGATGTGTCTGAGCTCTGGTTGTGCATTTCTGCTCTGCAGGGTGGCAGGATTTCTTTTAATTTACTTCTAAAAATTTTCTGGTAGCTAATAATGGCAAAACAGGTTCAGCTGCAAGGGCCATCCATCTGGCATCCTAGCTCTAGTCCATGGTCGGCAGCAGAAGCCATTCCAAGCCCAGGGGCTTACTCAGCTGAGAGGCAGCTTAGTGTTTCATGGTCCTCAGATGACTTACCTTCCACACATTTGTCAGCTTGCTTCTGAAGCCATGTATGGCTCTTTTGTTGTCCTCAAAATCTTGTGACATCAGGTTCCGAAAAGGGAGGCACTTCTTTGCCCAGGAGCAGAGTTCCTTGCCTTCATGTGCGTCTTGAACCTGGAAACATCATTTGATGCCCCTTTGTTTCATCTTACAAGAAGTACTGACTAGTTATTCTCCATGACCCTTCTTCATTTTATAAAGCTGTACCATACTCCCCCTCGGACTCTTCTTTCCCACCTTTAAGAATCTTGATTTAGGTAGCCACTACCCACATAAAGACATCCACCATCTTTGGTCTTCCTTTATACCTTTTCTCACTCTAACATATCCTTTTTGAGATGGAGGGACCAGAACTGCACACAGTACTCATGGTAGGTGGTGAACCCTATATTTAATTGATGACATCTCTTTTCCCTTCCTAATAATTTCTAATGTTCAATTGCTTTCTAATCACTAATGAGCCTTTAACTTACATTTGAATAGAACTACCTCATTCTAAGATACCTGTCCTGAATGGTGCTAGGTGGTTCAGAGGGCATTGCTGACATTGGGTAGTGAGAGGTTTTCCTCCCACCTCAGCCATGTGTTTTTCTCTGCTGCTATACACACAGAATTTCACCTGCCATTTCATTGCCCAGGCTCATGAGATATTTCTTGCAGCTCCTTGAAGGCAGTTTGCACTTTACTTCCTTGAATAAGCTGGTACCACCAGCAGACCAAGCCACTTCATTTACTGCCTAACTGATGGGTATGTGGATTAGCACTAGCCCTAACATGGATCGCTCTAAGATGTCATTGGTGCCTTTTCTCCACTGTGAAAAATGGATTCTTTTATCCTTACCTCATCTCTCTATCCTATATGCAGTTGCTGACTTATGAGAGGATCCTCCCTCTTATCCCATGCCAGATTAGCTTCTTTCTGAGCCCTTGGTGACAGACGTCATTAAAGGCTTTCCAGAAGCTGAGCAGATCACACCAAGCAGATTGCTCTAGACTGCAGCCTCACTGTTTTCTCTGAAGCCATAAGAGGCTGGTGAAGCACAACTTCATAGCTCCTCATTGCAAAGCTCTGATGATTCTTCCCTCTTAGTCCTTATCTGTCCCTGCAACTATTCTATTATCATGGCTTTTACCTTTTGCCTGCTACAGGTGTCAGATTTGGTGGTGTGCATTTCTCTAGATCACTCACAGCACTTAAAAGAAAACAGTGTCACATGCCATCCTCTTTTTCTTTTGGCTGTTTTCAGTTAAGGGTTATACACCAGCCCTAACAGTGCAAGAATTTCCCATTAACATTCCCTAAAAACCCACAAGCAAGTAACATCTGCTTCTCATGAATCTGTTACTATCCATTGCATCTATTTGTTCTAAACTCTCATCTAATGGCCCTTCAATCTGAGGCAGCTTCTCTGCATTATCCCCTTAACAAATGGCTCCACCGTGGGAATTTCACTAAGCTTTTCTGCACTGAACACAGACACAAGTAATCTGTTTAGCTGCTGTGTTAGGGCTTCTTTTCTCTCAAACCCCTTTGCCACCCTGATTGTCTGCTGACTGCATGCCCTGGTCACCTGCAGACCCTCTGGCAGGATCCCTGCTCCCACTGGGGCAGAGGAGGCTTTTTGTTTATTAGCAAGTTATTTCCTCAAAACCTTTTTCACTCTGCCTTTCTGTTTCTACTTTGAATTCGACAGAGTTCGTGTCCTTTTCCATTTCGTCATTTGGATGGGATCTACTCAGTTCTTTCCCATGTAATTTTTATCATGCTATTACAATGAGCCAGCAATTATATTTTTTTCTGTAAAGTCTCTGCTATTTCAATACCCTTGTATAAAAATCAAGCATTTTAGACCCTTACTTTTTTTCAGACTAATAGCAAATAGAAGGAAGCATACATTCAGTCTGATCGCTCCAGCTCCTGTATCCTGATAAAAGCGTCTTTATTTGTCCAGATTGCACCTTGCCATTTCCTGCTTACTTGTGGTTATAAAGACATAAAAATGGCACCTTTAAGGACATGCTATCATGAGTCCTTGCTCCTCTCTGCCTGCTTGCATCCCCCTAGTATCTAGCTTGAAATGCCTTTTAAAATCTTATCTCACAGTGGCTTTCTTCCCCACAAAGGTCATGCCACGCACAGGCTGAACATCCTACTCAGGAGCTTCAGCTTTTTGTTCCAGAAACTTTCAATTTGCCAAGACTATATCCTAATGTTTTGGGAATAATTGCACATCCCTCCCTTATTTTTCCCCCTAGGCATGGAAAATTTAAATATTCTAAAATATATCCATAGTTACATAGTGACGCTGCCCTGTGCCAGCTATACGCCTACCCACAAAGGGGAGTCACGCTGTTTTGATGCCTGCAAGCTGGCTTGCTGACACTGACTACTTGGCTTTTAGGCAGCTGAAGCCTGTTGAGATGAGTCTTTTCTTGCTTCAGCTGCCCAGCCTCAGGTGTCAGTCTCTGGCAATATCTCATCAGCTAGCCCTGAGTTTCTGCTGCTCAACCACAAGCCTTGCCAGGCACTGGAGCAAAGATGCGGCCTGTGTTAACTCTCCAGCTCCAGCTGAAGCTGAGCTGGTAGCTGAGGAATTTGCAAAACTCCATTTTGATCCTAAATTTGTCCATGCTGTTGCGTCAGCTCCATAGTCTTCATCTGGAAACGCAGAGCAAGTGTCAGGGAAACACTTGCATGTGGGAGAGGGATAACAGTGGAAGGTCATTAAACCTCCATGACTTTCCATGCTGATGAAAGGCACCCTTAAAGAAAGATTTGGTTGTCACCTGTGCAAAGCATTTTATCCTTGTGCTGCTCCTAGCCTATGTGTGTCCAGACAAAAGTTATCTGGCCT